CTGTGGCTTACACAGGGACTCCCTTTTTTTACTAGTTGTTTTCTGTCAGAACTATGGAATGTATTTGTTTCGACTGAAATGTGATGTATTTTCTTTAATTACTGATAGTCTCATTCGTTTACTCAGGGTAATTTTACAACTGAGAGATCATTGTAAAGCCTGGCAGTTTACACTGGAAAGATGGATGTTACTTTTGTTAATTTGTAGGAAAAACATTATCACTGAACTCAGAAGCACTGAAAACTTACATAGAATTTTTTACTAGAGATAAAACTTACATATTTGAATACACTGCAGAAATTTGCATTTGAGATTGCTACAAGCAAAGTGCTTCAGCTGAAATCCTCACTAACTATACTGATTCTTCAAGCATGGCCCCAAACTATCTGGTAAGGATATCATCTCAATACCTGAAAGAGCTGTTGTATCCACCCGTTTACTGAACAGTGAGACAAAGAAATGCCAACAGTAGTTCTTGCTGTTTATGAGTGCAGATGATAATGACAAGTTCCATTATTAGCAGCAAAAATCAAAAGACAAAGGAAGCTTCTGAGCTTCAGCAGCCATGAATACTAAAAGAAAGCAGAAGTTAAAAACAGAAGAGCTTTCTAGCAATTAGGAAAGGCAACAAAGTAATTGCTACATGGGTCTACTGCAGTACTATGCAGATCTTATTTGCTTGCATCCAAGTTTATAACCACACTGAACGACAGCTCGTGACCAGACAGAACTCTCAGAGCTCAGAGGAAAGCACTCCACAGAACTCCACAGGCTATCGCTCTATTCGTTTCTTTCACACTGAAGTCAGGAAAACTTAAGGAAAAAGAACCACAAAGATGAGTAAAACCAGCACCACCATGACTATTATTGTCATGGAGAAACAAATATTATTTGCAAGTGTATACAGTCAATACAAAGCATGCCCTCAGCTTGGAAGAGGATACACTTTAGCACCAATCCATAAAAGCCAGCTTTATCAGACACTCATGGAACAAGCAGCTTCTCCCATATCCTGACATGGGTGCAGATAGGTAGTTTGTTCCAATCTTGACATCTCAAGCTATAGTAACAGTTAAATACCTCACATATTCTAGTTACAGAAACCAGTAGTCCAAAATTCAATTTCATTATATATAAAAGGTCAGACCCACTTTCTAGGCTTCGACTAGATGACACTGGCTTACACTCCAAGTTAACATTTCTCTTTAGAAAGGCAGAAGGCTAATGCCCTGAACATGTCAAATTTATATAAATAAGAAGGAACATGTTGAGAATATCAGCTTAAGATTCTCTCTCAGCATTCCCTCACACCCTGCATGGTACAAAAAATACTAACATGCTTACCTTCCATACCTCTTGTTTGATCTCTCTCAAACAGTAAACTTTCCTACTTAAAAAACAGAAGTTGCCCTGCTATACAGTGGATTATGCTTTGAAGTCAAGCCTGCAGGTAGACCTGTAGGTTTCTAAAAGTCATGCTGCACAACTGCAACATGAACTGCTGAGGAACTAGACAGCAAGAGCTACTGCCACTAACTAACTCGTTTCCAAAACATCACCAAACCATGCAAACAGAAGGTGCCACGGATATGGAAAAAATGCTTTCTGAGGAAGACATCCTGTTAGAAACAATTCCAGGTCCAGAATAATGAAATCATGCCTTCACAATAAAAAAAAAAAATCATTAAATAAGTCAGTTCTTCCTAAGAGAAAGTAAGCCTGCCAATTAAGCAAAAACCCTGTTACAGGAAAAAACTGCCAGCAGCACAAGTTATTTTAGCTGACATTACTTCAGAGAAAGCCCACCATTCACCATCTGTTCTGGCACAAATTCTGAATGCTAAGAAAGTTTCCAACATCACTGATAAGAAGCAAGCAGTCAGGATGCAGAAGTTTTTGTTTTGCTGTTAAAAAGAACAAGCATCTAGGACAACTCACATTTCAGCAAGAAACACAAAACAGAAGTTTTGCGCATTTCATAAAAATCATTACAGAGAATTACAATAAGGCAGAGTGCAAGTGGAAGACATGTAGGGAACAGAACACAAAACAAATAAAAGCTTCTTACAAATTTCATGTGAGAAGCACGTGGACAACTCCAGATACTGGGTCACTGTTTACACTCTAGGTAATAAGCATATGTCTACAAAGTTTTTTTCCCCAATTGTTAACAAAATCAAAACTTTTTGAAGCTAATGGCTCTATCAACCCCTTAAAGAGAAGGTTAACCATCAAAACAAACCGTTTCATTCAGGTAAAGAAAATAAAGGACAATGTGTGACAAGGAAGCCACAGGAATCAAAGTAACACACAGGGAACGAAAGTCGGCGTAGATGGTATTACCAATAATGTTAAACGAACCACCACACTAGGATAAACAATCTCTTCCAACATGCAACTCATAACCAAAGTGCAAACTAGAGCAAAAAATAAGAAGATATGAAAAAGTGATAAAGAATGAAGATAAAGTAAAATACATAATTCATCCATCTCAATGCAATATTTATAATTTCAAAAGCAGGAAGAAATTCTTAATGCTTTTCTAAAAACCATTGGTGAGATCTCACTTAGAAGACTCCATGAAATTTTACTTCTCCATGCTTGAAAAAAACATGAATTCTAACTGGAATAGCTAGAGAAAGAAAACTCTCATGGGAATTGAAAGCTTATGTCACAGTAAGACTTGTTTAGCCCAGCAAAACAAGAAGTTTTAAGAGAATATGACTGCTGTCTATAAATACATTAATGGAAAGAAACACCATAGGAGACACAGAGGAGCTACTCAAGTCAAGGAGAACAATGGCATAAAAATGAACCTGTTTGAAGACAGCCTCTAACAGAGAGCCACCTAACACTTCAAATCCTTTGAAATGCTCGATGAGTTCACAAAAGAGATTATACCAATACTATGAGGGTAGCAGATGACATCATGTAGGTAGAATGCAATTCCAATGCTATCCTCCATATTCCTAAGATTTAGCCACTAAGTATAACGTACTTTTTCATTAAATCTCTAGGGGAAGAAATTACTTTCCCCATTTCCTCCCTAGTTTTGTCTAGCATATAAACTAGGAACAAGCCACAAAAAAACATAATACAAAAAAACATAATGACAAAAGCATAATACGAAATTTGCTAACTGGTAGGAGATTAAGTATTCTATACAAAACAACAATCTGAAGATATGGGTTAAAACTATATGGTCCATCACTGTGACAAAGTTTAGACAAAACCAGATGAACATTTCTGTGCCACATAATTAACAGATTTATTTCTCCTCCATCTGAAACACAAATTCGGTATGTCACTGCAATTTATGAATGAGCTAAACATTTAGGGCACCTTTTTAACAGGCTGGAAAATAAGGCTCCAAAAATTCCTTACAAGTTCTTTCTTAGAAAAACATTAAATGACAGATGGAGTTTTAATATTTCTCATGAAACCAGATGACGCTTTATGTGCAGTCATGCAATATCTCTTAAATAGTTATTTCAAAAAATTCTAGTTTATGTTGCAGAAAGATTTACCAGTAATTTAATACCCATTATATTTTCTTTCTTAATTGAAGAAACCAGCAAGGACAGTTTAATAACTCTACCTCAAAACTCTAGGCAGCATGCTGAATGTATGAGCTAGGATTCCTAGAATAAAAAAAGTCTTAATTATTTTTAAATGAGTTTTTAAAAAAATATCAATTTTAGAGTTACTGTGCATCCCTTCACTTTTACAGCTTTTATACTGACAAGCTTAAAACATTTCAACATTTCTACTTTACTGTAATCTTGCCTTTTCTTTTTTTCTTCTCTCTTTCTCCTCCCCACAGGGCAATTTAAACAAAATCTATTTACTAAGTCATTTACTAAGTCATTTCAAGTCACTACCACTTGAAACAGACACATTATACCTGGGTTTCGTATAACAACACTGCTTGATCCCTCAAAGCAGCCCCAAATTTGTGCAAGGTTCAGGAACAAATCTTCAGACATAATGAGTTATTTTCTTCCTTCACCCAGTCAATTTCTGAATTAATCTAGAAACAAGACTGTTTAGAACTAAGCAGACACCTTCCTTAAAAAAAAAAAAAGAATATTTTAAGTCCAGAGGAGATTGGGAATGAAAGACCTGGGCAAACAAGAAAAAGCTCTAAATGTTTTTAAGAAATTTATATTCAAGATACTATTTTATGATCAAATTAGGAGTGCAAACTAGAAGTAGTGCATGGATTTAGGAGAGTGTTTAGTGCTGTCTATTCATCAGATTTATATAGCTATGCAGATGGCTAAAACCTTAATGAGGGCTCTACATTAGTTTTGTAGCATCTGTCCTACTTACCAGCAGATCAAAACAGCATTTGTTTGAGAGCATTCAACCCACTTCCACAAAAGCAGACAAATATTGGTCATAAAAAAAAAAAAAAGGAAATCTGTTTGAGGGTCTCTCTTTCTCATCTATGTATGTAGCAACTCCCACTGACAGCATTGTAAAGTCACACAAAAGAAGTCCATCTCACTAGGCTTGAAAGCTTCAACAGTAATGCAGAGGTCAAATTCTTCCACCGCTGAACAAATTCATTGTCATTAAATGCAGAGTAGTAAACACAGCAATACTCCAAAACCTACTTTTATTACTTCAGCTTTGTGAGTATAGTTTTATCACCTATGATTACGAAATATGCCCTTCCTTCGTAGACATAAGGCTAGCAAAAAATCTCTGTATCTTAATATACTCAAGCACAAAAAGGTTGCACCTCCACAAGAACCTGCCAGCAAAGCCTTCCCAGCATGCCTTTTTACTGCAGACAAATCCCTTGAGCAAAGATCTCTAAAATGTGCAGACCAAATCAAAACATGTTTTATCTTTTCACAGAGAAGAACTTTCATCCATTCTGTCAGTCAACCAAAGCGACCTTCCAAAGCCTAGGCCAAGCTGACAAGAAAGAGATATACATAGGTACACTGTCATTTCTATAAAACATATTTAAGAAAAGACTTCTAGCTTACCGTTACAGACTTCAGAGTCATTCCATGATAGGTGCCCATGGTATCAATTTTAAAGCCTTCCGTTTCTGCAAAGGAAAAAAGTCTCTTGTAAATCATTATGGACATAGGAATGTCATGTCTAAATGGACAACACTGGAAATATCTTTGAAATTATTTTGCAGAGAACTCAGCTTGCTATTGGTAGTAGCTTACATTCTGTTCACAATACAAAGCCTGGTTAATAACTAGGAAATCTGCATTTTCTTTAGACAGAGGTCCATTTGGTATTTCTGCTTCCTGTAACCAGAGTAAGCTTTTCCTGCTGCACAGAATCATTCCAGTCACTCCAGAGAAAGGATATAAATCTACAAATCTAAATCTTTGTGAGAATATGTTACAACATGCATGCAGTCTCAGAAATTCTCTTCACTACAAAATGGAGAAGTACTTGATATTCCCAGAATGCATTATAACACAACATATTCAACTTGTAGTTGTATTAATGGAAAAATATACTTAATAAGAAACCGGTGTTCATGCTGACAATAAAACCGTGGCCACTTAACATAATAAATTCACTTCTGGAGTGTAGAAAACGAACAATGTAATTGTCATATGATACAGAGGATAGAATCTGCATAAATTCAGACTACCAGGCTAAAGGTGATAAAAAGGGTTGTTTGGGGTTTGGTGGTTTTTTTGTTGTTTTGTTTTGGTTTTTTTTGTTGTTGTTATTTGGGGTTTTTTGTTTTGGGTTTTTTTTTGTGGGTGTGTTGGTTGTTTTTTGTGGGTTTTTTTTTTGTTTAAGTTTTAATCACAGCTGAAAGTATGCTGAGTCAGTGCCAGAAGCCTGCAAATGCTCAGTGACTAAACCTGCTTCCACTAGCCTGTTTGCGTTTGAATACTCCTTTTCTGTCCTCCTATTCTCAGCGCTCTAAGATCAAAGTCAGCTCCTGAATATTGCCACCAGGACTTGCAAGAAAACATTTTTCCTTTTGTAAATTCCCTTGCCTCACGCAACTACTGTCAACTGACCCCATCAACCAGCCACTCAATTAATTTATACTTAAAATGGCATGACAATCACCAATCAAACCGTGATAAGCAAGCATTTCTCTACACCTGAGCAACTTTGGGGCTATTTCAACCAGACTTTGGTAAAGGTAACCAATACTGTGCAGAAACAGCTATTCAGAATGGGAAGATTTTTGCCATTGACTATACCACCTTCATACAATGCATCAACACAGAACCATAACAGACTGAAAACAAAGCAGAATCAAAGCAATGCTCATACCTGAACCTACAAAAATTCCAATAAAAATACTAGATTTTCAAGACTTTTAGAGCTTCTTGCTCTTATCACGAGTAAATTAACTTAAATTGAAACTCGGATAACCTTGAAAACAATGTAGATGCTCTGGGAAGCATCTATGGTTGCTCATCCTTTCTTCCTTAGATGAGGAAGATTATCAGACACTTGTAGGAAATGAGGCAGAAAAGTTTCCCAGATTTAGTAACTCTCCAGTGCCTAGAAAAAGATATTCAAGAGCTGAAAACTGATCATACTCCTCTCACCAGAGAGACAGGTATCTACTTTCTGAATACTATTTTTGGTTTTACCTTTCCCCTCTGCCCCCCCGATTATGCTACCAGACCTACCACCAACTATCAAGTGGAGAGGCCTGGTGTGACCAACCATGTTTTGTTTCATATGAAGTCACCTCAGCTCCAGCCCTTCTTCATTTTGCCTTCTGAAGGCAATCCCTCCCCTTCCGCCACATTTACCATTTCTGAACTATACAGAGTTGATTCTGAGGAAGCAAAATGCAGGTACAGTCAAACACGAATGCAGGCTTTTTTACTAAAAAAGGGAAAAATAAGCCTAGCTTCCCTTTATAAATTGATATTGCCTTACTGCTTTTCCTCCCAAACTCCAAGATGTAATTACGCATTGAGTCTTAGCTCAAGGCTCATACAGCTGAACCTGAGCTAAAGATAGTGAAGTTGCATCCAACCAACACTTCCATGGACAACAGTTTTCTCTGTGACTATACAGGTCACTGTTTCTGGGCAAGGAGCATATTACTATTTCAGGCAGTGCCTGGAGCCTTGCAGAATAATTGATAGAGCTCCCCTAAGTTGAAGGGATGCTTTTGCCAACCTGGAGTGACATAAATCAGTGGTGTTTAATCTAGGCTGACAGTTGCCTGTGAATTTGAGAAAGTCACCAACAGAGGAACCTTTCCCCTTTCCAGACTGACCTATTATGGGTTACTCTAGCCTATGACATGGAGAATTTCTAACTATTTCAACCAGATGTTCTTCCCAAACTCCAAAGAATACAGACACCCCTTAACAAGACCAGCAAAGCAGTATCCCCTGTTGTGCCTGGCCTGCCACAATTTCCTTCCTCTCAGCACAAATCCTGGTTGTTCTATAATTAGTTCTACATGTTTGTTCGCTGTTTCAGCTACTTCTTTCCACTGCACTCTTTTTCTACTTTTTCCCTAATAAATCTTTGATTTCCTTCTTAATTAAAAAACCCTAACGCAAGTCTCCATCACCATTGCAAAGGGAGTAAAGACCCACAGAGCCAGTAGCACAGTTAGAAAGTAAATCAAAGGGGAGGAAGGCACCTGGCAGGGAACAAACCTCTGTTCAACTACCAGTGGTTTCATCTTTTGCAAAAGTCTCTCCAAGTCTCTCAAAATCTGTCCTCATTCATTTAATGAGCCACAAGAGCCACTAACCAGAGCTCTGGCTCTCACCAGCTTCCTGCTCCCAGCTTTGTGCTGATCCTTCCTCCAAGCAGGAGGAGCAAACAACCAGGATCCTAAAGAGCTACCTGTTGCCTCAAGCATTAGAGCGGGTGCTCTTGCCTGCCAAGCGTTTCTGGCAGCTACAGAGGCCTTCCAATGCTATTTAACAGCTACTTAGGTAGTAAATAAAACAGTTCTGATAATCTGTAAATAAAGGCATAGTACTTTTCCTTATTAATGTAAATCTAAGAGATGCTAAACTGTCAAAGTAGAACATAGGTACCTACTTACATTCCCGCAAACAGTTACTGCAGCTACTACGAGGTCTACCGCAGACCCCAGGGTCTGCTGCTTGCAGGTAGGGTGGGATGAGTAGAAGAAATCACCTCCTAAACTGCCCACCAGCTCTCAAATTTCCTGCCTCAAACTTCCAGATAACCACAGCAACCCTCCTTTAACTGGTAGCAGCACGAACACTGTTTTCTCAGAATACAGCTTTTTTGACCTGATTCTCTCCCATTCACCATGTGATATTCTACCAGTCAGCCACTCACCTTTCTTACAGAAATAAACACTGCTACAAGTGAGAGCCACTTGCACTTTTGTGCCTTTCTATAAGGTCTCAACAGTTTGTACACTTGGCCACATACAGCAGTAGTACCTCCAGCTCCACTCACTGTGTAAAGCAGAAAGTAAATGCTTCCAAGTCAGGGACTCCACACTTATAGTTGCATTTCCACTTCAAAAATTGCTGAGAGTGTTAGACAGGTTAATGCAGCTGGTTGTAAAAGAAATTCAAGGACGAGGCTAGAAAACGGAGAGGCACTTCTTCCAAAGCATTTTCCAAGGGCAGTGGCTGACCCTGATGCAGCTGCTCAAAAGCAGACCCGGGATACAAGAGGAACCCCAGGCTACAGTAAAGAGGAGCAGAACACAAAGCAACCTGGAGCACCAGGGGACATGCTCCCAGCATACATCAGCATAAATGCTGTACCGTACCCTCTGACTAAGAACACAGAACCAGTATGTTTCTCCTCTCCCTCCCAAACCAGCTCAAACCTGTCCTGCTGAGTCAGGCACCTGCATAGAGATGAAATATTAATGCCTGGCCAAAAATTAGTTTGCAACTCCAGTTTCTCAAATCACAGCTTCACTGATGGTAATAGAGGAAGGAGTTAAAATTATAAGCCATCTACTAAGACAAGGGTATTTAAAAGGAAGAGAGTCCTTTAAATAAAAGTATCATGATGGCATGACTTTGGATCCTTATTTTTAAACTTGGAGTTAGATGCAGAACAACTGTCAAAAAAACCAAAAACAACTTAGCTGAGAGTCTTCAATAGGGATTTTTCACAAAATTAAAACAAAGTTATCATACACCTCTCCTTTAAGCAATAAGCAGTCCATATTAAATACTTTAAACACAGTTCTAACACTAAGGAGTAAAGAATGCAAGCAAAGCCCAACATTAATGTATTGTGATGAACTATATTGCAACCTTTTCTGTTTGCCAAATATAATCAGTTTTATAAACATATAAGCACTGTTAAAAACATTGACATCAACAAATGCCTTAAAAACCACCTCTTGAGACTCAATATAGTAACTACTACTGAATAATCAATTCTAATACTTCAAAAACATAAACTATCATCAGTTAACATTAAGACTATCTTTTCTTCTCCAGTCATTGAATTGCATGTATTATGATCACAATTTCAGTTCAATGACTCAAAGACTGTCAAAAGAATCACACACTTTCCCAGCATGGTTCATCCCTAGTTATCTTTCTAGCATCACCATGCATCAAACTGAGTGCCTTCTCTCATTTAAAAGAATGAGACCTGGAAATGAAAACATGGACCCTAATGCATCAGCTTATTGGGCTGATTATATTCTCCATCACCATTTGGGCATAAGTTCCGTTTCCTTGCATACGACTATTAATTTTCAAAGGGCCTGCCATTTGCTTAAAGCCCACTGCTCCACGTCCATCCAGGTCACTCTGCATTTTGATTCTGCACCTGCTGCAGCTCTGGCCATCTAATCAGGGCACAAACTTGAGCACTGATACGTTACCAAAAGAATAACAGCTTTAAAAAGACTCAAATTAACCTGAATTTCTGGAAGGAAGTCTAGGCAAACAGAAACAGAACAAAGGAGCATGTCTCTGAAACACTGAAGAGCTCAAGTTAAAGACCTTGTCTGAATTGTGGATGAGACTGAATAACCACTTCTTTTTTCAGCTGTATACTCTTCAAACCCCAGATAGCAACAGCTCTGCAGACTGCCTGGAAATGATTCACTACCCGACTTCATACCCA